GGGGAGAGGGTGGTGGGTGACAAGACAAAAATTCAACCACTCAACAACTTTCATAGCAACTTCAAATTTTGGAAATCTTGTTACTTCTCATAGGGTTACATAGTTTATTGTCTAGTTTATGACTCACCTTTCTCTTCTTCCTTCTCTAGTTTCACCATGGCCAAATCTTTGTAGTAATTTTTTACTTCTCTATAAGCTTGTTTCCAATCAACAGCCTGACCATGACCAAGGACTTCAATCTTTTCTGTTAAGTTTTCAATTCCTTCAGAGGCCCCTGGATACAAAGATAGTAATAATAAACTGCTTGACTCATCCAAAAAAAATTACAAAAAAGGAGAAAAAAAAATCTAAAAATGTCAAGTTTGTAACTTCAAACACAACAAAATTTACACTACCATGTTGAAAATAATTCCATAATACTTACCCAGTGAAGCAATTTTAGCTTTCCAAAGTCTACTCTCATTGGTTAAGAATCTCCATCGATAACAAACCTTCAGAAAAGCAATCACAAATTCAATCAGTTCATGCCTTTGATACACATGATAATAAAAGGTTTGTTTAGCAAGAAACATGCCCCATGAAAAAACCTTTTCTAACTCTTGGAAAGTGAAAGTATAAATAGCAGACTCATGGAGACTCAGATATTGAGAATACTCAAACTTATCAGGTAGAAGCTGCAATCTTGATCTAGCACCAAACTCCCATTACTAATTTACAAGGAAATGCACAGCTGCTAGAGGGTATAATTAACAATCAGATCTTGGGAGCTAAAGAGTTTAGACAAAAGATTGTAATCTAGCAAATGAAAATGTTGTGGTTAAAATTTTTCTTTCTGACTACAATTTTTTCAAATTAATTTGATTTTTTTTCCTGGTTGTGATAATGAATGTAAGAATAGCACAAAACTAGAAACAATTTTAACCACAAATAAAAATGGGTATTGATTAGATAAAATTTCAGACTATGAAATAAAAATCAAAATTAATCAAATGAAATTAAAAATTAATATTAATCAAATATAATTTCCAAAATATTGAATTTCCTACCTGAGAACTTTGGCACAAGCTTCTAACATTTAAAAAGGAAAAGACATAAAGCAGAACATTGTCTGGGACACAGTTTAAATCTGTTGTATCTCTTAACCTGAAATCATAAAAATAGGGGTACAGTGTAATATATCAATATTATAATTTTTAACCACAATTGGTGGTAATGTTGCAATCTGATTGGCCAATTAGATTACAGGTAACACTACTCACAACAACATGTCATGCAGTGGTCACATACTGAAAGAATCAATTTATTTGATGTAGTTATTTTGGTAAGAAACAAATCGACAGTGGTTTAGCATGGTCTGTACTCTGATTGTCAACAATAAAATTGTCATCACAGACGTTGAAATTTGATGCAGACTCACTTGCCTGCATCCTCTGAGGTCTACAACATTTTGAGCGCTGAAATGACAAATATCCTTGTTGATAACAGTACAGACCACACTAAACCATTGCCAATCTGATAAATTTACCAGTAGTGGCATTACCTGTCTGAGTAATTATATTGTATTGCTCACACTTTCTAAAATTGGTAGTTGGGGGAAATTGTAAACCTATCAAACTTCCAATCACCAAAACATATTTTATAAATGTATGGAGCCTCTAGTGTTATACTCATGTTGTAGGATCAAATATTAAATTCGTAAAACAATTCTTGTGATTTTACTAAGGATAAGATGAACCCTTGGGATCTTCATGAACTTGCAAGCAGATTAAAAAAAAAAAAAACAAACAAAAACAAGAAAATAAAAATTAAATGAACAAAATGTCATAATCCTTGCAAGATTTTCATCTGAAATGGCTTTTAAATTTCTTTTTATGTGAAGGATAAAAACTTTTTTTTCACCCTTTACCTCTGGGTAAGACACTGTGCAAAAAAATTTAGAGATTCTTCGTCACAGCATTTCACCACCTCTGATAGTAGCTCTACTCTCTCATGTGTTGGCCACTCATCAAGCCACTGCCGGAGAACAAAACAATCATCTATTGATTCATAAGAAGAATACAGCTACCATAGTAACATATAATACTTAAGACTATGTATATAGGATTAGTAATAACTATACAGTACCCACAATTCATTAATGACAAAGAAAACTGTAAAACAAACCTACCAAAGCACTTTCAAGAGAGGAAATCTGCTTAAAAGTTTATCAAGATTGGGATTTTAAAATTCAGGTTACTTCTTTTCTTCATTGTAAGGACAAGAAAGAAAGATGGAATATTTGAGCTTTGTCATAAGGTAAAGACAGAAGATATAAAGAGGAAATAACTGACTACAATATGTGTTGTAACAAAACCTGAATAGGACTACTCTTGAGGAGGCATGTAGAAGTGCAGTTTGCTGCAATACCCCCTTGTATCATTCATTGTTACAAAATCACAAAAAGTGAAGTGTAACATAGCACAGGGACTGAGAGGGAGGGGGGAAGGTGTGGGATAGGAGGGGGGGGAGGGTGAAAGTAAGGGTCTTTACCCTTTAACTCCCAAGATCTCATTAGTAATTCTCCCTATTGTTTGCAGTTCTTGTGATTTTAGTTTGGAGAATTTGAGGTTGGATCAATTTATAATCCCCTAATTGATATTTTTCTTTATTCTCATCATTTGTTTGCTCGATATTGTATTGATATTGTAAGGAGAAATTCTGTCTTGGTCACTCATGAGAGTTAAAGGGTTTAAAATAAAAATGGTACTAGAATTTCAATGGTGATGTGTCAAACATTTTAATACATATTGTAGGTATTATGTGAAGCTTGACCCATCTATGTAATACCTGATGAATCTGACTGAGTTGAGATTTAAAATGATTTGAAAGTTTACTCCTCCTGGGCTTGATCAGATGACCTCCTTTATGGCCTTCCCACCACTTATTATGTTTAAATGTAACTGGCGCATGTCCATAGAGCTTCTCTTTATCTCCAGTCCTTAGAACAGTTCTCATGTGGCCAAGCTGCTTATGATTGAAGTGTGGGAAAAAATTTGGTGTACTAACTCTCCTTACAAACGGTGGGGCGTGTTCATGCCGGCGGTTTTCCTCAAAGTCAGCAGCTGGTTTTATAGTATGAGATGAAGCTGTCATAGCTGTACCCCCATCTGGGGTGAGAGGGGAATCCACGCTCCCCTCAGGGATACTCACAATCCTTGTGTCTGTGGTAAAATTCATACCACTGAAACTATTCCGGTCATAAGATCCTCCTGATTCACTATGAAAACTGTCTAAATCCTTGTCTGTAGGTTTTTCTACCTCACCAACCGTGGTTGAAGAATTCACCCGATTTACTTCCTGCGATGGCTGAAGAGCATTTTTCAATTCTTCCGCGCTGAAGCTTGGAACAGTGGCTGTGTGAACCAGTCGCGCCCTGATACGAGTTGTTGGATAAATTCCTTTAAGCCTAGCAGTAAAATCCCTGTGAAATACTGGCTCAAGCATCGTCACAAAAGCCTGTAATTGACTTTTCGTGCACTTCTCAGAGACGCCGCATAATAAGATCCGTTGTTGCCACGACCTCCAGTCTGTAAACCACTCGCACACTTTTTTACATATTTGCTTGTGAGAGAACAAGCTACTCACTGATTGCAAGTCAACAGTGCTGAGTTCCAAGCTAGGGAGTACTAAAGGTCTTTGGAGATTCTTGAATGCTACTCGTTTAGTCTTCTTTCCTTGTTTGCAAGTGCTGGCTTTAACATTCGGTAGAAAGCTCAGCCCATCTCTGCCGTCCGCCATTTTGGCGACGACAGTCTCTGTTGCTCTTCCCTGTAGCGTTCCTTAGCAACCGGATAGGATTAAACCGCGCTCATACCCAGTGCTCGTCTCGTCTCCAGACCTCTGTTTTGTACACATGTGAGTTGTGAGACAAGTGTTTAACCTTATCCATTATCTGTCCAATCAAATTGTGACTAAGACATTTCGTAAAAAGACTAATTTATTAATAGCAAGATGATTAACTGACAGGAGTTTCACTAGCTGCTGAATATTTTGAAAGATTATACACGTTTAAATAAACGAATATATTTGAAAATACTACATGCATTTTAGATCGCATAGTTGGATAAAATCTCGCATTCTGATTGGTCAACGAAGCTATGTGATAGTTTCGCATCTACGTAAACATAACATATATCGTCAAATGGTAACAAAGTTTTCTACAATGTCATTTTTTTAGAGCCAAACACCAAACAAAAGCGTTTTTCAAAGTGAGCCAGAGGTTCTTCCCTGTATTGAAATGAACTACAAATTCTTGGAGAGGCATAAAAAACTTCTTTCGCTTGCGACAACGAGAAAGCGAGGAAATCCTGTGAACACGGCCCAGAAAATGGCAAGCAAAAGTTCAACTGAACAAGACAAAGAAGTGACAACGGAAGGAGTGCTAAGGTCGATTGTCATATATACAGAAGAAGAAATAACTACCTTTAATCGCGATGTTAGACTTTCAGTGCTTTCGCTTGGAAATTTAATTTCTTTCAGTTTTGCCACCAAAGAGGTAAAAGGTGTAAATTATTTTCCGTCTAGAGCAAATGATTTGAAATTTGAAAAATGATGTCAAAAATAAACGGCTCGTAAATTCAGTGAAATACTACTATTATCCTTAAGATAGTGTGAAGCCTATTTAAAAAGTTTGAAAACAAATGTAAAAACAAGCACGAGATACAAATAAAGTTGTGGAAGATTCAAGCGTGCACGACTGACCTCGCTTCCTATTCGCTAATGCAATGACGGTTCTAACAGTTGACTTTGAAATGGCTTTCTGAGGCGCGCGTTTAGGATAAAAACAAACAATATTATTACTGTTTTCTTTTCTTCTTATTTTTATTATTTATTCATTACCTGACAAGGAAATTCCGCGTTAAATTGCACTTGAAAACCGATATCGCACGCATCGCTTCGCGATTCGTGCAGGCGGTATCGGTTTTCGCGTGCAATTTAATGCGGAATTTCCTTGTCAGGTAATGAATAAATTGATCGATAAGAATTGCACTCACTGCAACCAAAAACTCTAGTTGAGGTTTTTCGACGTAGACAAACTTTGACATTGCCTCAGTTTAGGCACTAGGCCATCAAAAAAAGTTTCTGATAAACCCAATTAGACAGTTCTCCAGAGTTCGATCTCCACACGACCATAAGTTTGCGTGTGTGTGGGTGTTTGAATGTTTCTGCGCGGTCGACCTGCCCTTTACCTCTAACTTACATACTGTTTTACACTTGTCGACAACATGGCGGACGACCAGGTTCGGGCGTAATGCGTGCTCTTTTCGGAAAATTACTGCACGCACACTTAAACCAAACACTCAAGAAAGTGCTTTGAGGTTATTTTAAGGAAGCACTGTCATCGTTTGCTCTCAGTTTTGAGGAGATTGGGAATTTTATTACGCAATAAAGTGGTGCTAACAGCAGAGAAAAAGGGCGATCCAATTATCATCGGAGGACTGCGTGATTCAAAGCTGGTCTTTTTAAATCTAAGCGCTTAAAACTGATTAGACTTTCCGCTATAATGATTTTTTTATTCGCGAGAGCTTTTAAAGAGAAAGTAGGTTTGCCAACAGGCCAAGCAACTATTTGTATTTGGGAAAATAATTTTAATTAGCTAGTAATGATTGCAAATTCGTTTTGTGCCATTTTGATAGCAGCAAATGACTAAATGTGGTCGTTCATTCGTCAAAGAATAAGTTTAAATTGCTGTTATGAGCTTGCCTCATTTCCAAGGCCTCGTTAAATCTTCTCAGGCACTCTAAGAGCCTCTTTTACAACTATGTTCCCGAGTTCTTCCCTCTACTAGCGGGCGCCGGGAAAGGAGATTTAGCCTGGGAACGAAGTTTCCTCCGTCACCTCGATGAATATACTCGTCTGCAACTCGAAGAAACGCTTTGCGTGTCGTGATAATCTCTCTCTCTCTCTTTTTTTTTTTGCAAACTAACCATCAAACTATACGTTTTGGCTTTAGTTCAGAGGGCACCGGCCTTTTAAAAATTAATTAAGTAAGCGGCTAACCACGAGTTAATATAAATATTTGATCTCGCGCGATGGTCTTTCAAAGAGGCTGTTCTGTTTATATTTTACTACCCACAGTCAGAGTTTGGTGGGCTTCCTTTTAGACAAAAACCCCACGAGACATTCTCTGTAACATGCGCTAATTATAAAAAATAGAAATAATATTATTTTTATGCTTCTCTTTCTGGATTTGTGCCCCCAATCAAGTCTAGATTAGTGTTAAGCGCCTTTCGGGAACAAAGGGCTGCAATGACGGTCTATCTTTGAAGGATTTTTTTTATTTGGTCAGACATTAAGGTCGTTCTCACCAGCGAGAGAAAGTAATCTGAATGAAGAAGCAATTGGATACTGTAATTATAACTCAGTGCTACATCAGCCGCCAATATAATGAAGTGCTAACTGAAGCTAGCAATTAGTCCGTTACTTCGAGACGGGGTCGATTGATATACACAAACAAGACTGAGACATAGAGAGCGGTTAAAATGGTTCGGAAATATAGCAATGCCTAGACACTTAATTTCGAATAGGTATGTCCCTGTTAGATGGCATGAAGTATTGGTAGGTATTTTTACAGGCAAATGTCACGAAGAACAAAGGAAAGAGGTTGCACAAGAAAAATGGCAGGACACAATATTGTAACCCAAAATCGTCCTGTAACGTGTGGGTCCAAAAACTTAAAGAGGGAAAATTGAGTTTTCGGGGCTCACCCTTTTGGTAGGAAAGAGACAAAAACTCGGATATTATTTATCACACTCGATCATGACCCTCTTTGTTCAAACTACTTTAAGACACTTAAGATGATTAACAAGCGGAAATTTTTGAGTAAACAACAAATTAGTGGCCAAGGTCAACGAAAAAACAAGATTTTTTTTTTCTAGAATGAAATGCCCTCTTCCTCGCAGACTGACTTTGACATGTCTTGGCATGAAGAGGAACCATCTGTTTTTACTCGTTCCCCATTTGACGAATACTTTACTGGACAGAGTCAAATAAGGACAGTTGTTATCACAAAACAGCATTGTATTGATCATGTTTGGTTCCACAACTTAGTCCAACGATAAGAGATACCTTCGTGAATTCATTAAGCTCACAAAGAAGCCACTGGAAACCTTTCAAATTGGCCTCCGGACTGTCAATAGCTCTATTGATTGTAACTGAATTACAGGTAATAAAATTGGGAATACATCGGAATAAGTTCCTCCGTTACCTCCCGCAAAATTGTCAGTCTTTGCATGGGGTAGCAAAATGAATATCATAGTCCTCATCAAATAGTAATACCTCAATGAACAACGCATGGCCAATATTCGATACATCATTCCACGAACTGACATTTGGTTGTGGGGTTTTTCTCTCAGAGGACTCGAGATATTGGCAGACAGTGTGAGTTCATAACAAATAAGAACTTCCTTGCCGGCCGTCATAACAACACATCGGCACTTCAACTAAAATTTTAATTAAGAGAGTTTAAATGAACAATGACAAATCCTTGTCTGGAATTGTCATTGCTTTCGGCGGGGGACACTTGGAAAGCGATATGTTAAGTAAATTTTGAACCTCTTGAAGCGTTTATTGTCCAAAAGTAATTAAAAAACAGTTAGTAACTGCGCTATGAAGCGCCCAAGGAGGTGCAAATAGCCTTCAGTTACAATCAGCCCGCAAACCGAAGCTGCTAACAACAAAGTTGACAAAGCAAATTGCCTGAAAATTAACTCCGGATAGTTAGACCTGTGTAAAGGACAATGAAAATGCCATTAATCAAACAATTTCAAGGAAACTTTTGAAGGAACGAAGAAAACTGGAAAGCGTCTTCTATGAACTTTTTTCGATCAAAGAATTTTATCATCATAACTCGCAACTGCTGCTCCTGATTTCTTTATTTGTGTTGCAAGGCTCATTAACAGTCTTTTCAGGGTCAAATCATGGTTAGACTGCATTCAACAAATTACCAACGCTTACTCTTTGAACTGGTTTAACTGTAATAAAACGAAGAATAGCTTCGGTGCATGAAACGTAATTTCTTTTCACAAGACCTCCAGAGGGAGCCGAAGCTCAACGCGGACCCATGGGTAGTTACATCAAAACAGATGATGGATAATTAACAGAGAAACCTTTAACAAAAGCGTACCACAACTCACTCCATTCTTCACTTATATTTTATTATCATCTCAGATTGAAAGGAAAATATCAGACTATAAACCAGAGTTTTTGTACCGGCCTGGTTCAGTTATTTTGCTAATGGGTTACACAAGTTGCAGTTTTTATTGGAGGCTACCTGGCATTAAATAAGAGACTAAAAATTGATTAGGAGTAATCTAACAGTTTACACTTCTTTCAAAGGCTTGCATCTAGGAAACTATCTCCGTCTCTTAAATATATTATACATTATTTTAGTTTTAAACTGAGCTAATGTCATCAGTAAGTCTTTTATACATAACGACAGAAATCATTGTAAATACTAGGAAGAATGCGGCGTAATACGAAGGAAGGAACGATACCTACGGCGTGGTAATAAAAATTCCTGTCTGATACTGCGGAGTATCCAGTCTATTAGGTTAAAAAAATTTTAAGTTTTGATCATATCTTCCCATGAAAATTAGCATACCTTCTGGGAAAATAAAAAAAATGTTTAATCTGTCTTTTATGAAAATCCGGCTTTATAAAAATGAAATGGTCAAAAACCATTTACTTATTACTAATTTAATACAAAACTGAGTTCGATATCCATTGCAATCCCTTTTTTTTTTTTTTTCATTGACTTCTATTTTACTTCGTCGACGTATCAATTATTGTCGACAGTCGTTATATACACATGTTTCTGTGTTTATAAATTATCCATCATGGCAATGCACGTGCAATTTTTAAAACTGAGATCTGTTCCACGTTGTGGTCACCTTGGTGAAGAAGCCACGACCGATGGCAGCAGCACTGGACACGATCTTATGGTTGACCTTGACCATTCGCTAAGAAATTCGCCTCAGTTGTGTCTTACGACGGAAGCAATCTAACACCAGTTTAGCTTCAGGGATTCTGAGCATTTGTTACTTCCTCCTCCTCCCTTCTTTTACCGACATCCACATCCATCTACCACCATATCCTGGTAATTTTTAAGCACCACTTTGGTGTGCTCGTTCACGAAAAGCATACTGATGGGATTCAGCGTTGTGGGCACGCAGCAGGCACGTGGCACAGCGTCTGCATTTACACTGTTTACAAGGGTCTGTACAATGGCATGATTTGTGGTGTTCAAGTGATCTGCGATTGGAAAGGGACAGTCTCCATTGCAATAAAATGCCGGGTATCCGGGAGGAGCAACGATCCAGTCATTCCACCCAACCTCTACAAAGTCAACATATAGAGGGAGCCTTTGACAGTAGGTGCTGTCTTTCGCCATACGGTTTCCTGTGCTCCGTCGACTTCTTCGTTTACGACGGCGATAGACGTGTTGTGTCCCATCGTGGCTGAACGTGACCAGAAGTGGTTTAGTGTCTTTTGTCGCTCTTTTGTCAGCGCTCATGTGAACTTTTGGAGATTCATCAGTGGTGACAAGACGCACCTCAAGGCCAAAATTCTCATCGGGATTAAGTGCCCAATGTTGAACTGCTGGTTTAATGTCAAAAATTTCTATTCCATGACCAGTCGTTCTTCTCGTGTCTATCAAACGAGTTATAGCCGGATGCCCAGCTGTTTGCGGTAACATCACTTGATGAATGTCCACAAGTTGTTGGACTACTGGAGCGGTTTCGTTGGAGTGATTCTTTCCGCCTGAAAACGTCAAACGAAGTTCTGCTGCTGTCAGGGTTTCTTGACTGGGAAGAGAACGAATGTCAAAGAAGAGGTTCCATCGGTTTGTCGGCAATCCTGACATTGGAACAGGCAGATGGTCACCTTTTGTACAAACAAAAATAAACAGAGTTAACACTTGTTTTCGCAGAGGGAACACAGCCGGTGGGAAACACTCGTAACACTGCATTGGTCCTAGATATGTCACGTTTACAAAGGACAGGTTGCCAACCAAAATATTATATCTCTAGTGCCAAATTATCACCCACTCACCTTCATGATCAAATGCCCGGATGGTATTGGCAAAGGTCCATTTCCCCTTGTTTCTAAAATTGGTAGAAATCCATTCTGGATCATTGATGTGATTGTGATACAAGTCGAGCATATACTGAGGTACTTCGTCTTTTTCTCCCTTTCTTAGTCTGGGGCGGGATTGTAAGCCCATCTTTTGCAACATGGCTTGTTCTGCTCCTTTGAATAATTCCGAACGTATGTTGTCCTCAGAATGACTCAAAGAGAGGGATCTTACTTCTGCGCATATCGTTGCTCCAAAGAGTAAACACCACAGCTGAGCGATCAACATCTTTCGTTCCCAGCACGATCTCCTTGAGAGAACAGGAAACAAATTACATGAGTCAATTGCCAAGGCGATTGAATTTTTACGTTATCTGAATTTCGTCATTACATAAGTGTTTCCCAATGATTAGAAGGATTAAGTGGCCTTGGATGCTCAAGAATTATGACTTCCCGTATCGATCGTAACTCATCTATATACAGCTTTACCACGTAGTCCGTCCGATTACATCGAATAAAGTTACGCTTGAAACTTGTCGGGCAGATTTACCTGAATTAATAAAGTGATGCTCTTAACAACAGACGCTTCAATGCGCACTCGCCCAAGTTGTTCCACAGACAAATTCCCAGAGAACCTTAATCTCTGGATTCACAACAGTTTAAGATAAAAACCGAAGCACTTATATTGTATCACAGGAAGGCAAATTAAATAACTATCGTATCACGTTCCAATATTTGCTTTCTTTCCATAAAAAGCCCCACGGCGTATGTTGACCCCCGGAATGAGGATCATAGGGTCACTAGTGGAAGCTGCAGAGTGATTTAACAACACTCAACACCAAGCACTATCCCTTGCTTCAACTGTTGTAACCAAATTTATAAACAACACACGCGAAGACAATCGCACTGACCAGGTGAGCTACAATGTAAAGAATTCATCAAAAACATTCATTGCCGACACGATCTGTCTTCGGAAGAGGAAACGAAAGCATCTTTGACGAACAACACGCCTTGTATAACAACAGAGGTTCGACGGACGTGTTGCCGAACGTTTGATCTTATTATATTAAAGCCAGTTTTTAAAGGAGCTTAAGCTTAGTAAACGTGGGTCCCTTGAACGCTCTTCACAGCAGCTATCTGATTTTATAAACAGCAGCCGTTCTAAAACAAAAGGCAATAAGTATAGTTGCACACTAGGAGGTCTATTTATACTTTTCAAAACGGAAGTGACCCAATAATTACATAGGCTATTAAAACTGAATTAAATGGATTCTTAAGAGCCGCTAGGCTATAAAAAGGTGTGAAGTGAGAACCTAATTATTGTCATTCTCACGATAACCAAAAATTTCCGTTTTCTAAACCCCTCTCAAGAGGATAATCAATTCGACCTCGCTGTTAACTGGCGTGAGGCTAGATACGTCGTGAACAAAACTGGCGACATAAACTTGAGTGGTAACGTACGCTCAGAGCGTATGACCAAGAATAGCTCTTCGTTGAGTTAAAACGTGAAATTCCACTCAGACTTATTTTCGTTTCGCTCTTATCACGTACGTAATCTTTTAGATCAAGATTAATTCTTTGAAGCAAGTATCATTTTTGTAAAATTAGAAGCTTTTGTACTGACTAATAAGTGCATAGTGACAAGATACTTGTTTTGGAAAGCTATTTACACGAAGCTTTGTTTGCAAGAAAAATCTGCTTTTACAGAGTTGTCACTTCTCCGTCGTTTTCTGACAGTTTCAATGGCAAAGAGAGGATCGTTGGACAGATGAAACAAACTACCAGTGACAGCTTTTAAGACAATATCCGTCCAGAGACAATCAGGGGCTCTAAGGCAATATATATCTTCTCTCTTAAAATCTTAAATCTGATGCTCACGGTACAATATTCTGCTGGTATAAATACAGCATCAGGCAAATATGGTGAAGCAATTACTGAGTTCGTTAACGATACACGGAACAAAATACGTTTACAAACTGGCATGAAAATATCCTCTAGAAGTCATCTAGCTTACCAATGGTAGTTGAGTTTGTCGTTTTCAGCCGCACTGAGCCAAATTACAAAATTTGCAAGCACTAAAGAACTTTTGGAACAAAAATGAGGAGTATTTGAATGTTGTGCACACCCAGACACTCCTCAACTGGGTCTTTCAGAAGTGGAAACAGTTTCAATCTGGTACATTTAGAGGGCCCCACTGCATGGCGATAGGTTCAGGTGACAGTTATTAACCTGAAGACTTGACTGATCTCAAATGATTGTCGAAAACCGCATAGAAAGTGTGCCTAACAGTATTCCAGAACGACGTGTGGTCACCGGTCAAAGTTTATACAATTTGAGTAAGATCTTTGGCCGCACTTCTTTACACGTGTTTATCTATATACGGTGTCTGCATCCGTGCTCAAGGTTTAAAAATCCAGACAGTCAGACTGGATAACACGTAGGAAAAATCTGAAATAAAAGTAATGCTGATAGAGGAAATATCTTCCTATGTCACGTTTTGTCGTAATCTACATACTTTGTTACGAAATTTCTGCGGCCTTCAGTCTGATGATAGAAGTAAAGAGTATTAGTAACAGCCAAATACTTAACATTTTCGGTGGGCTTCGAACAACAAAGTACCGAAGAAAACCGTGAAAGTGCTAAGCCGAACTATGCGATCGATAATGATGCACCATGCTGAAGAATATGATGCCGAAAACTACCCCCCTCAAAAGTAGAACATTTTCCGGTATACTGGCGAATCGCCAGTCGCAGTAATGACAAAATTTGGAGAAGGTTCTATAAAATTGCAACCTCACTTGTCTTTTTAAGAACAAAAAGATCTAATCAAAGGTATATTCTTCGCAGAAGTGTAAACTGGTCTTACCTCAATCTTTGTAATGACATGACTGAACGATCCAAAAGATCAATTATCGTGTATAGGAGCCTTCAACTCCAAAAAACTATCGTTGGAATTCTTGAAATAAATGCTAATTTATAAATCTAAGAAAATCGAGAAGACCAAAATAACCTAGGAATTCATTCTCATTTTGATTACGTGAGCGTTTGACTAAGGAATTGGAAGCCAGGATTTTCAGATCAACCATCAAAAACACAGTCCTCATACAAAAGTTATCTTAGCACATGTACGTGCAGATAGTCTTGTCCTGCCACATTGAGTTTAGTCCACCCGCACAAAGACGCCAGAAAACAAATGCTTACAAGAAACGTTTCTTGCATTATGTTGAGTGCAGTACATACTATATGATAATGACGTTTCTGTCGTAAAATGCCGTCAAAGCCACGCGAAATCATTTCAACTGCGCTATCCAAGCTTGGCTCGATAAAGCCGGAATGACCTTGCCCGATCGAGAAACTTCCTTTTGCCTTTAATAACTTCGCAGCATCGGAATCTCGTGTAGATTATGGCCTAAAAGCAGCGTTAAAAATAACTCAAATGTCTAATCTTACCGTAAACTGGGTAATTGGTCTGCCCAAACAACACGGCGACTCAACTTCGAAGCCTAGTTAACTTTGTCTTCCAGATTGATTTTGAACAAAGCAACTAATTTACAATTATTCGACAACACAAACACGCTGGGGGCCAAAAAGATCTGTCAGCTGAACTAACGCAAACAATTGCATTCAACGTACAAAAGTATTCTTTACACATGCAACACACAGACGGATCGTTTAATTAAAGGCTGCAGGATTGTCATTTGCCGTCAGGAGGGGTCAGGAATCGTGACATTCAAAGCTTGCCACTTACGCGCATTAATTATATTTCCTTTTTCAGTCTCAAGAATTCTTGTAAAAAGTGTTTTAAAGAAAAAGAAAGTAATTGGACTTTTGGTTAATCTGGACACGCTTACTAAATTTGAAAGCGAGAGATCTCAACTCCTTATAAAGATCTATGAAGTAAAAGACTTTTACCTCTTCAAAGTGATGACTAGCGTTTTACCAAGGAATCAGACACAGTAATTTCTAAAGGAAACACGGAATTTGAATGATTAAAAAGTCTAGGAATTGCTCAGGCAAGGATGCACTAGCTGTGACAGAACCAGCATGCGTATCTGGGTAAACGTAGAGCTAAAACATCTTTCGAAAGAAACATACGAAGGTTTCTCAGAGACTCAAGAAATCTGCCAAATATCTTTAGAGAACCCGTCCCTTTGTTTTTCACATTTAATACAGGAATTAGCTTATAATTACACATTGTTTAGCCGTATGTCTGCACAAGCCCCCACGAAGGTCTTTTCCACTGGGAATTACTCGTGAACAAATCGCAGGCTACTCTCGAAACGAGCCTCATTCAACACTAAGAAGAAATGAAATGGCAAAAACACAATGCCTCTGTATAGCTAAATTGAAAAAAAATACAGCATAAACAAAAGAAGGAAAGACAATATACTTTCAAAACAACAGGGGAAACCCGCAATAAATTCCACAACTTACTTTCAAAGAACGCATAATGACAAAACTCAGGGTGAATGCAACATTTTTGTTTTCTCTTGTAAACTTGCCGTACTACGAGGCTTGAATATTAACTACAGAATCGAGTTACAATATAGCCCCAAGTTATAATTTATGCCAACATCAAGAGATATTATGCAATTCGCTGCTTATATCTCTTTCAAAATAATACTAATAGTTCTTGACCCCTCTTTGACAAAATCAGTTCTCCAGCACACGTGATGATCGAAGGTCGTGTTTCAACAAGTTTTAGCTCTTCGTCAGAGCGAGTTTCAGTTCTAAATGAGTTTTGCTCTGGTCGTTTTTCTTTCGGTTGTCTAATTTGTCAGAGATCAAAATCTTGCAGCGATAACGCAAAGCAATGAAAGTTGCATTAACTATTTTTTTTCCACGAGTCATTAAAGATGCTAGAGTAAGCAATGCAAATCCAAAAGTAATTACATTTGTCAATGTTTTCAACTAAAATGGAGTCATTTGTTGGAGCGTGCATACTGTCAATGTTCGTCAGATAACGTGACGAATGTTTATAGCTCTCGGCTCTCTTTCACAAGATACGATTGTTATCCATGAAGACGGAGAACGCTAGCAAATACATTTGAAAATTGATCTGCTTCATTAACTGGTCGAAATCATGTTGGTTTTCTAAGCCCTTTAGAGAGAAAACGCGGTACCACTCGAGCTAATATCATTAAATATTTCCTTTTCTTTGACAGGGGCATTTTTTTTTTCCTTACGCGCCCACTTTTGTCATTGTATCAATTTAATGAAGTTTGTCTTACTCTTCACATTGGCTGACAATTTCAAATTAATTTTACCCATTTGCCACACGTTGTTTTCTTTTTTCCTTGACGGAAAGTCA